TCAGTTATCCCCAAGTTAAACTCTGTGTTCACTGTGGAAATCGATGGCTTTATTTCCTACATTTACGGGAGCAAATTCCAGCTTCGGTCAAGTGAACGGTCTGCAAAGAAGTTCAAAGCGAAGGGAACGATCGACCTGTGAATGCTTTGCCGTCTAAGGCAGTTGTCTATGACAGCTGAAAACTGAAACTCCCTCAGTGCCCACCTTTCAGTGACGAGATGGCTAAGCCAGTTCCGGCTGTAGAGCACCTCCAGCCAGGGAAGCCCTGGCTTGAGGCTGTTGAGCAATATGGGAAGTCTACTGAGTGAAGAAGTCAGGGGACAGGAATTTCCCCTTCTAGGAGATCTTAATTGTGTATGGCTCCCATAGAGAGGAACAGACTGACGGGAAACACACCAGGGTTAACACTGGTTGACTTCAATTTAAAGATGCTTTTTCATGTTTTCTGAATGCTCTGTGATGAATCCGTTGCGTCTGTGATCATACATGATACATGTGGATCGCATTATACATTGCATCTGTGATCATACATGATACATACATTGTACATAAAGAGGCATCAAATGAAGGAGCTACTGCTGCAGTCCAGCCAGGTTGAAATGGAAGGGGACTCCCCAAAGGTCCATGGGATGGCAGGTGTCTACAGAGGCGCGCCTTTGGGTGGAACTCTCTGACCCACCTAAGGGTTACTTTGCTATTTCAGGAAGGTTGAAGAGGATTGAAGGGTGGGCTGCTAAGTAACTTAGGGCTTATTCACTTCAGGAATCACAGCTGGGGTGGACCCCAGGAGCATAGCAGCACGTGCAGCTGTGCTCACGGCATGATCGCCCCGGCATAGCTAAAGGGGACCCCTCCTGAGCTGCCAGCGTGAGCTGTGGAGGACTGAAAGGCGGTCACCGGGCATTGCCTCCTGAGGTCAGACCTGCAAAAGCCAAGCCGGCAGCGTTGATGCCCTTTGATACCTTAGTTCCATTTTGCTGCTGAAAGACTTGGCTTTTCAGTCTGAACCTGGCCCTCCGTGGTGATGTGTCCGTAAGGCCAGTGGGTCAGGCCCTTCCATGCAGGGCCAGGGGAAAAGTGGGCCCAGGGCCGCAGTGAGCGTGGGGCAGGGGACCAGCCTAGCGGATGGGTCAGAAACATGGCTCCGAAGGACCGACTGCCCCTGCGCCTTGAGGAGTAAGTATCTGCCGATCAACAAGGCAAGGCCAGGAGCCCCCGTGGCGAAAGGCAGGCCAGAAATCTGTTCTCTCTGCAGGAGAAGCGGCGATGCTGAGGCTCTGCGTTTCTGGTACCTTCCACCCACACCACACCATAGAGAAACACCGCACTGGAGAAGGGAAGTGGGAACGCTGACTGCTGTGTTCTGGGAAAGCAGAAAGGCCTAGCTCTGTGCCCCTGCTCACAGGGACCAGCCCGGTGCCTCAGTCCTGCTTCCATCCGTGCACCAGTTCTGAGGTGGCTGGAGTGCTCTCCCCCAAGCAGCACGCAGTCACCGCCGCCAGTGACGCAGACACGCACAGGCCAGGGACATGGAGCTCAAGCCCACTGCCACCTCGGACAGGGGCCCCAGCCCACCGACCGCCTGGTGATGTGGCCATCCTCATTCTGCCACAGGAAGACAGACTTCAGGGGACTCCTTACCCAAGGCCTCACTGACTCAGGGTAGAACTGAGATTTGGACCCAAGAGTCAGGCCACAGCACTGCTTTCAACTACAGGGTGGCTGCAGGATGAGATGGATGCGGTTCTAAAGCGCAGGATGTGCTGCCTTTACTACCTGCTTTCCCACGAGCCATCCCTGTCTCGAGCGGGAAGTGCCATCCATTCCCCCAGCCATCTGAAAGCGCTGTGTCTGTAACAGCATAGGTGCTGTAGCTTCCTAGCCATCCCGCTCTTACCCACCCCCCAGCAATCTAAAAGGCGTCCACTGTTGTGTAAATACACAGTCGCTTTCCGGAAAAGTTGTCGGTGCCACTTGCCATGTGAAATCTGTTTTTCATTTGGCGCAGACTCAAGTTTCTGTGTGAGTAGCTGTTTAATTTGTAGACTTCTCTCCCTCTCCCCCAAGGAGATGTGGGGAGGGTGCTTGCCGGCCACGAAGATGTTGCTATGCCTGCCTGTTTCTAGGATACGCTGTTGCCCCCATGGCCCACCCAGGGGCCGTGTCATCTCCCAGGTAGAGGAGGGAAAGGGGAGGGCCAGATGGGGCAGGACATGGTTCCTGATGAGGAACAGCTGCAGAGAACATGACCTGAGACCCAGCCTGGCAAAGGCCAGGCTGTCATGTCTCCGCAGGCTGCGGCACAGCTTGTCATGGAGGGCAATGTGCTTTGTGGCCTGATCTCCCATGTCCACTGTCCAAGGAGCAGGACCCCAGCAGAGCTGAGGCCTTGGCCATGTGGTCCCACAGAAGGTAGAGCCACATTAGCCTCGTGTAAGCCTCCATGCACCAGAGAAGGTGCCAAAGAGGAGAGAGAGAGTGGTCAGCAACTCGAGACAGGACTCAGAGGCTGCAGGACTGAAGACCTCAGCCTAGCAACCACTGTTGAAAGAGTGGGGCTCAGGGGCCCTTTACAGCTCCCCAGTGCCCAGCTGCCACACGGGCTGCAGAGGATAGGCCAGAGCCTCGGGGAAAAGGACAAGGCCCTTGGAGGACAAAAGGCAGCGTGGGCCATGGCCGATGTGTCTGCACTAATCTCCATAACAAGATGCCACACACCGGAGTGCCGCCTTTCCTCACAGCTCTGGAGGCTGGAAGCCAAAGATCAAGGTGCTGGCAGGTTAGTTTCCGGGGAGGCCTCTCCCCCTGGCTTGCAGACGGCCACCTTCTTGTCCTCACATGGCCCTTCCTTCCCGTGTGCAAGGAGAGTGATCCCTGGGATATGATCCTTGTAGAAGGATGCCACTCCTATTGAATTAGGCCCCTATTCTTATGACCTCCTGAAAGTCTCTGTCTCCAGACAGTCACACTGGGGGCTAGGACTTTATCATAAGAATTTGGAGACGCAAGTCAGTCCACAGCCACCCTGAAGCTTTCCCCGCCAGGACAGACTGGTTGTGCCTCCCAGAAAGACTCTTACAGCCGCCTGACTCCCAACCTCAGACACTGGCCTGGCCTTCCCATCCCCCCACATGGGCTGCTTGGACCACTAGCCAGTCCAGCCAGCCCGACTGCTGGCCCCTGAGCTCCCAGCACCCCTGGATTCCGTGACATGCTCATACAGGAACATGGGCTCAGGGCTGCTCCCTCCAGTAACCGGAGCCCCGAGCTGCCCAGCTCCCCTTCATTTTTGCAAACAGAACTCCTCCCACTGGGACCAGGCACAGTCTGGATAGGGGAGGAAATGCGTGCACAGGTGGGCAGGATGGGCAGAGGAGGCTCCCTGGTGCAGGGGCTCTGCTCTAGGCAGCTGTGGGTGTGAAGAGTGTGCTCACACCAAGGGTCAGGGCAGGAGCTGCGGAAGTATCGTGGAGGACCCAGGAAGGCAGGGGAAGCCTGCAAGGGTCTGCTCCCTGGGCTCGGGCAGGCAGGAAGAGAGGCCAGAAGGGGTATGTGGCTGCCGGAGGGGAGAGATGGCAGGAGTTGCTGGAAAAGCCCTAATCCATGGGGCAGAAGGTGGAGTTCTGCAATCCATTCATGCAGTTCTGAAGTCTTGGGGGCCGTCATGCCGCCGTCTGCCAAGTGGGGCCTTCACACTAGACCCAGCATTCCTGGAATGGGATCCTGGGACTTCCTGCATCAGAGTTAGTGGGCGCACGTTCAGAGCAACCAGAGCCTGGGCTGTGCCTCAGACCTACCGAATCAGCCTCTGGAGGCGGGACCCAGATAGCTGCGTGTTTAAGACCCCAGCTGATCACTGATGTTTGAGGACGCTGGGCTCCAGATGGTGTCTAAAGTCTCTTCCAGCTCTGACGTCTGGACTGTGATTTCAGACTTGGGACTCTCAGGCCGACGTTTTCTGGAGGCTGGGAAAGATCATCAAATGACATCTCTCAGGTTCTGAAGAGTAAACAGAAACATCCTTCCACAAAGCCATAAATTATGGTAAAAAAAAAAAAAAAAAAAAGCTTGCTTTCTGGACAATGGCTTTAGCTTTAATTTAGTTTGCATTTCTTAGCTATAATGTCTAATTAAGATATCTGTTAAATGTCTATAATATTAATTTAATAGAAGGGGTTCTAATAGAACCGTATTGGAATTGTCCATTTAATTAACCTCGTGGGCCTTTAATGGATGTCTTAAATAGGCATCATTAACAAGAGTGCTAGACAAATTAAAATTAGAGTCACTAACATTCTTGGTAATTTTTCCTGAGCTGTGAAGGACCAGCCTTGCTAAGTAGACAGGCGCAGAGAGAGCTGTGCTCACAGGAGGGCGGGAGTGCTGTCCTAAAGGGCATCTGAAATGTACAGGCCCCAGTGGGGTCCAGCTATTCTGTGTCTTGGTCCGCTTTGCCCAAAAAACATAACCTCCAGCCATAGGAGGCAGCTCTCAGGAGCGAAAACCTGCCTTTTCCTATGCCTCTTACAGAAAAAGTTCGTTGGGCCAGGCGTGCTGGCTCACGCCTATAATCCCAGCACTTTGGGCAACTGAGGCAAGAGGATTGCTGGAGCCTGGGGATTTGAGATCAGCCTGGGCAATGTCGCAAGACCCCATGTCTACAAAAAACATTTTAAAATTGAGCCAGGCATGGTGGCATAGGCCTATGATCCCAGCTACTCAGGAGGCTGAGGTGGGAGGATCACTTGAACCCAGGAGGTTGAGGCTGCAGTGAGCCATGATTGTGCCACTGCATTCCAGCCTGGATGACAGATGAGACCCTATCTCAAAAAAAAAAAAAGGGAAAGAAAAAGAAAAAGTTCTGGCCTGATCTATCAGAGGAGGGGCTGGCACAGGAGGGAGATGGAGGAGGATACAGGACCTCGCCCAGAGACTCACTAGACACCAGACAGATGCACGCACTGGGTGAGATGCAACAGAATGGGACAGGGAAGGACTGGCTGGCACAGGCTGGGGAGCGGGATGAAGCAGAAAACATTCCATTCTTTCACCTCAGCCGCTCCACTGTGCCACTCTCAAGTGACCGCGTCTCTCCAGAGCCAGTGGTAGGTCCTCTGCCTCTGCCTTGCCTGGCCTCTCATCGGCATGTAACAGGTTACCCCTTCCTTCCTCCTGGGACACCTCTTACCCCACACCCCCCGTTTTCCTCCTGCCTCCCTGGCCACCCCCTCTCGGTGTCCTTTGGGGACTCCTCTGCAGAACTTCTCAATGTTAGAATGCCCTGAACTCCACCTTCGGACTTCTTTCCCCATTCCCTCCACAGCTGTCTCGTCCACAACTTCAGATCCGCCAGACCCATGTGTGTAACTTGGTTTACCGTCTGCCTCCTGGCGTCTAGAATGGAAGCTCCTAAGGACAGGACTCTGCTTTCCTCACTGCCACGT